TCCTCCTCCTCCTCCTCCTCCTCCTCCTCCTTCTTCTTTTCCTTCTTCTCCTTCTCCTCTTCCTCCTCCTCCTCCTTCTTCAATGTATTTGGTACAGGGTCTCACTACGCAGCTTGGACTCATAACGATCTTCCTGTTTCAGCCTTCCCAGCACTGGGATTACAGGCATGTGCCACCACTCCTGGTCTTGGTAGCTGGGCTAAGCACACCTGGGGTGGGGCCAGCATGGTATGTGGTACTGGAGACTGAACCTGGGTTCTTGCACTTGCCTAGGCAGGCACTAAGACTGCTGAGCTAGCTCCACGACCCTATTAACATTATTCTTAGTAGCTGTCTTTTTTTTTTTTTTTTTCAGAACTGGGGATTGAATTTAGGCCCTTGCGCTTGCCAGGGAAGCATTTATTCCACTGAACCATCTCCCCAGCCCCAACATTATTCTCAATAATGTTTCCAAATGGAAAATCACAAGCAAAAAGACACCTCCTCCTTGGCTGACAAAAGGATTAGATGTAGACAATATGTGAGGTCCAGAAGACAGTAACATGGGAAAAATAACACTTGGCCCACCAGGTGTCAGATGTACAGAGTGGGCAGTCTCACAACATTGAGGAATGAAGTCAGGAACCAAGGATGGAAGTTAGATTCTTTTTCCATGCTTGGGCAACAAACAGAAGCCGGGAGGCCTCACAATATTGTCTTGAAATTACACTGCAAAACACAGTGTGATAAAATCAGCATGTCATTGGCAAAAAAACACACCTGAGGATCAGTGGACCAGATTAGAAGATACAGACACAACTACAAACACACTCAGCCACCTTATCTTTGACAAAGTGGCCAAACATGTTTAGTGGAAGAAAGATAGTTTATTTAGATTATTAATAAATGGTGCTGGGAAAACTGGCTTTCCACATAGTGAAGACTAAAATTAGACCCATGTCTATCACCACGCACCAAGTCAAAATGGATCGAATATTTAAATACTAAAACAGAAACACAGAATCTACTGGAGGAGAAAGTAGGTAGGAATCTTGAAGATATAGGGGTAGGCAGAGAGTTCATGAACAAAACCCAAACTGCATGGGAAACACTTCAAAGAATCAACAACTGGGATCTCATCTTATTGAAAAGTTTTACATGCAAAAAGAAATCACCAACAGAGTAAAAAGAAAACTCATGAATTGGGGAAAATATTTAGCTGACTATCCCCCAAAGGACTTCTATATAGAACATTTATTTATTTATTTATTTTTTGCTCCAAATGCCTTCAGGGTAGATTTGGCTGGCTTGAGTTGTAGGGATTGAACCACAGCAACCTAAGCCCGACTGCTTTGTTGAGACAGCCACTTAAAGAACTGAGCTAAGGGGCAGGCCCCCTATATAGAACATTTAAAGAACTAAAAGAAATCAGGTCTCCAAAATTCAAAGGCCCAATTACAAAATGGGCATCTGAGATGAACACACACTTCTCAGATGAACAAATACAAATGACAAATAAGTATATGAAAACAATGTTCGGGCCAGAGAGATAGCTCAGTGACACAAGCACCTGCCCGGCAAGCACAAGGTCCTGGGTTCAATTCCTGGTACAAAAAAAAAAAAAAAAGAAAAGATGTTCAACTCCATCGGTCATTTGAGAAATGCAAATTAAAACAACACAGACTCCACCTCACCCTGGGAAGAATGGCTGCCATCAAGATGCCAACCAGCATCAAATGCTGGGCGGGCTGTGGGGAGAGAGGAGCCCTTCTCCACCGTTGATAGAAGTGTGGGCCGGTGCAACCACTGTGGAAACCAGTGTGGAGATTCCTTAGAAAGCTGGGATTAGGGGTCGAGTCAACCCAGCTATTCCCCTCCTGGGTATTTTCCCAGAAGAACCGAAAACATTATCCCACAGTGATATATGTGTGCCCATGTTTACAGCAGCACGGTTTGTCGTAGGTAAATCTTGGAAACAATCCGGACACCCTTCAACTGAGGACTCGATTAAGAAAAGATGTATTTTTATATAATGAAGTATTACTCATCTATAAAAATGATCAACTCTAGGCTTTTGTAGGTAATTGGATGTGAGTAGAGACCATACTTGTAAATAAAACAAATCAGACTAGCATGTAGGAACATCATATTTTTTCTATAGTGTTAAGAATCTGAAAACATAAATAAAATCTGAAAGTTACAATAGATACTGTGAAAGAGAAAGAAACTGTTCAAAGGGAAGGAACAACTAGGGTGAGGGAAAGGAGAAAAGGAAGAAAGAAGGAAAAATATGTATGTATATATCCAGGGTAGCTTGGATAATAGTACTGCTCATATCCACTGGTTTAGTGAAAGGAACAGTTAATGCTAATTTTTTCTTCTTATTAATATTTTTAACTTTTTTTTCTTGCAGTACCAGGGATTGAACTTGGGGTCTTGTGCTTGCCAGGCAGGTGCTTGTGCCACTGAGCTATATCCCCAGCCCCTTTTTGATCATTTTTGGGACCATTTTTGCATACTTATATCTGGTAATCTGAACAACTAATTTGAAGACAACAAGATGCAATGTACTAACCATTCTCGAATTGTTATCATTGTATTTAGCCACATTCTATATCATTTCTTTTTAAAAATATAAAAAAAATAAAGATATTTATATGAGGCTTTCGCATGAGCCTCTCAGTGAAGGACTTTCAGTACTCACACTGAATGCTTTCGGCTCCTGTTCCAAGGGCAGCAGCAGGGTGAACGGTCCCAGGGAACTCAGCGGCCAGGCATAGACTTTGTCTGAGCAGGGGAGAGACGCAGAGACAAGCAGCGCGGACAGGTCAGAGGAGCGCGAGGAGCGCGGCTGTGTGGGGGCGGTGGGTCAGGACAGGCCTACCCGCGCTCCTCTCGGGCCCTCTGACCACCGAGGAGCTCTCTAAGGATGGGCGGCACCGCGAAGCACTGGCTGCTCCTCTGCGGCACTTCCCGCCAGGTCCCCTCCCCCGGCCTCGTCTTCACAGCTACCCAGGATGAGCAGGTTGTGCACAGCACACGGGTCATGCACCACACGTTCCTGGATACAGCACGTCCCTGTCACTAGGTGAATCTGGCTTTCTGAGCTGCAGCAGTCTCTGGAGCAGCGTCCACTTTCATTCTGCCCTGGACCCTGCAGATCCTGCTCTCAGCGCTGTCTCCCTCCTTCCGGGGAGCTGGGACATCAGGCCAGACTCTGTTCTCACGCAGGAGGCAGCGTGGACTAGCTCCTGGTACTGGGGAAGGCGGAAGGCCAACAGGACCCTGTCCACGGGGATGTCTGGGGTCCAGTCTGCAAAGGACACTCTGTCACACTGCCTGCTGCCATCTGGTGTTCTGCGAGCTCTTAGAGGGAGGCCGGGCGCTGGCCTGCTGTTCCCGGGCCTGTGTTGAGCTATAATACGTCACCCCTTGGGGTGCTTGGGCACATGGACATGAACCCAGGGCGCACACGCAGATGTATGACGAAAACAGAGGGGACCTGGCAGGATAGTTACTTCCTTACTTGTGTTCTTTCTGCAAAATCATTTTCAGCGGCTGACAAATTCAAATATAAATGCGAGGATTGCAAGGCCTGTGTTGACTGCCTGTCTGTGATGTTTTGTGGACTGGAGGAATGGATGTTTGGTTGGAAGTTGTGTCCAGTACCTGCTCTTTTCTCTTCCGCGTGTCCCTTCTCGAAAAGGCGGATCCCAACAGAGTACTCTGCCCAGCCCTTCCCACCGCCAGGCCTGGGAGCGGCTGCCCTGGGGAGGAGGGCCACGCCCATTCCCAGCCTCCTCTGCGTCCCTACCGAGGAGCAAGATGAAGGAGGTCAGCCTTCCTAGCCATTTCCCCCGGGGTGTGGTGTTGAGTTCTTGGATTCTCTCCATGATGCTTCCATAGCACGTGAAGCCGTCTCCCACGTAACCTTTCTGGCAGGTGCATCTGCAGAGGGGAGAGGGGCACAAGCTCAGGGCCCTGCAGCCACTGAACGTTGAGACCACAGAGTGCAGTGTTTCTTTTATGTTATTTTACATAGATTTCTTTTCTCTCTCTTTCTTTCTTTTCTTTCTTTCTTTCTTTCTTTCTTTCTTTCTTTCTTTCTTTCTTTCTTTTTTTTTGAGACAGGGTCTTGCTATGTGGTTCAGGCTGGCCTTGAACTCTCTATGTAGCCCAGGCAGGCCTCAAACATGAGGAGATCCTCATGTCTCAGCCTCCCAAGAGCTGGGATTACAGGTGTGTGCCACCACGCCCTCCTCCAAGGCCTCATTTAATGCACGGGGAAGCAATGCCTAGAAGAGAGGTGGAGCGGAGCCCGGCGAGGAGCAGACCTGAGTTCAAGTGCAGCAGTTGAGATATCCTGGGGAACTGAAGTATCCCACGGCTGCTTAAACTAAATGACAAAGACAAATTACACACCACTGCCACTGCTCACCCTCAGGGTCCTTCCCTCCCTTCAGATGCACTCATCATCGTCCTTGGCAATTCTGGAGTTCCTCTGTCCTGAGTGTCTGTATGAGGTGTGATCCAAAATTCAAGTCAGATGGAGGTCTAACATCTAGAATATGCAGCGGAACCTTTTGTTTGTGAGCAATTCGGTTTGCAAACAAAAATGTTTGGCAAAGTTTTTTGTTTGTCTGTTTGCAAATCCCGTGTTGGGTGACAAACCTGACTGTGGCCGTCCTTCCTGTGAATACACTAGAGGGGCCATATTTTCCAAAATCGTGGAGAGAATGGAGATATCACTGGAGAAGGAACTCAGAATAATTAGCTCCCATAGATAAAAGACCCATTCAAAAAATGGGCAAGTGAAATGAACGAACACTTCTCCAAAGACGTACAAATGGCCCATTAATACGTGAAGAAACACTCAACTTCTCTGGCCATTAAAGCAATGCAAATGAAACCAACACTGAGTTTCCATCTCACTCCCAAAAGAGTGGGCACCATCAAGAAGTCAGCCAGTGACAAATGCTGGGGAGGCTGAGGGGACAAAGGACCCCTTTACACTGGCAGTGGGAGTGTAGCCGGCACAGCACTATGGGAATCTCTATGGAGATACCTCAAAAAACTCAAAGTAGTAGAGTTCTACTCAGCCCAGCTGTTTCTCTTCTCGGCATCTTCCCAAAAGGGCTAAAGGCACCGTATTCCAGGGCTGCACGCATGCTTGTGCTTACAGCTGCGCAACTCACAACAGCTAACAGTGGATGGGGCCTGTCTGTCCATCAGCAGATGGGCAGGGAAAGAAAGTGCGGCATTGCCACATAATGCAGTAGCCTCCACTGCAAAGAAGGATGGACGAGTCATTCACAGGAAACTGGATGCGCCTCGAGGCCGCGATGCTGAGTGAAATAAATTGGAGACACAAGCTTCTGTCATACAAGAAGCCCCAAGTGTAAAGAAAGGGAAGAACAAGTGATAACAGGAAGCAGGAAGACAGATCTTCCTTAAGTAGGGTGGGATCAAGAGACGGAGGAGGGGCGGGGAAGCGAAAGGGCGGAAGATGTGCTGCGCGCATGCGCCAGCTCGCGCAAGGACTGTAACCGCTATGCACTACATGCACGCGCTAGTAAAGAAAGGAATCTTAAAAACAAACAAACAAATAAATGACAACAAAAAGTCAGACAAAAAAAGTACAGGGAAGGGCCAGTGAGATAGCTCAGCAGACTAAGTGCCTGCTTAGGCAAGCGCAGGGACTGTGGTTCGATCCCTGGTACCACAAGCCTCACTGGCCCCACACCCAGGCGCGCTGAGTCGGCCACCAAGACCAGGTGTGGCGGTGCACGCCTGCAATCCCAGCGCTGGCGAGGCTGAGACAGGAGGATCACCAGCAGTGTGAGCTGCATAGTGAGACTGTGTACCAAACACACTAAAAAACAAACAATAAGAATAGAGGGCATGCTCCTGCCGCGGGCCAGCCCGAGACGCACAGGCTCCTAAAGCAGGGTGCTGCGTCTTCATCCGTCTTACTCACTGGAGCTGTGTCATGAAACCTCTGACCCCTCCCCAGGGTTAGCACAACTGTGAAAAGCAAATGTTGTCCATTGATTCAGGACACCGAGGCAGTCAGAGACACCCACGAACGAGACGTTCAGAACTGCTCAGAAAGCGACAAGAACAGGATGTGCATGTTCAAAGAGTGAGACAAGATTTTGAGGAGGAGGTTAATGCAGTAACTTTTAAAAAAATGTTTAAACCTCGATGGTTTTTGATCACACCTCATCTAGTTGGCCTTCCAGAGAAGGTCAGGCAGTAAATCACGCCCGTCTATGAACACTACCTGTCTTTGTGTGCTCTTGGGTTCAGTCTTTTCCAAAGTGTGGTCAGGGCGCCTGCATGGAGAACTACTGAGCATATTCACTATAAATTTGGGGTCCACAGAAAAACCCTGACCTGAAGCAAGCTACCCAAGCCATACCGCAGGAGAAGGGAGCCTCCGAACTGCTGATGTGCTTAGGGGTCACGGCCCCTGCTCTCTCCTCCCAGCGGCGCCTGCCCACTGCCCCTTCCTTCGGGAAGCTTTCTGTGCTTGCCCTTGCATAGGTCAGCAACCCTTCTACGTCCTCTCTCGTGGCGCCAGCTCATTCTTCCTGGCTGTGATTGCAGGTCTGTTTCATTGTGTCAATAATATCTGCTTCCATATCTAGCTTCAGCAAAGTGTGAAGGCAAGGAGTATTGGTGTATTTGCCCCTGGTTGGAACCCCAGGGTGTGGCGCATGGCTAGGTGGGTACTCCGTCCACAGCTGCGTGACAATTAGGAATTGAATTAAATCAATAATATGTACAATGAGTTAATGTATATGTGTGAAATCGGTATGTCAATAACAAAAGTCTGAGCAATTGTGTATGATAGTGTCATAAGAGGCAAAGAGGCTCAGATGGGTAAATGTGTGACCATCCTACCTTTAGGGGAAAGTCCTAAGTTATAGCACTTGCCACTTTCTATGGTTTGTCTTCCCATGTTGGCCAACTTCAAATTACGAATACCATGCCAACAGGCTTGTAAAATCCCTGAAGATTTGGCACCGAGCTCATATGACTCAGTAAGACCTGGCTGGCACAAGCCACTGTGACCTGGAAGAGGGGGTGACAGCTGGCTGATTTTGACAGAGTCTGGGATGGGGAGGTGACACCAGGATTCTGGAGCTGAGGGAGAAACCAAACATGGGGCCGAGGAAGAACATGCCAGACAGCAGAGTTGGGGGATTGAGCAGTGCTGTGACATCATGGCCTTGTTACGGTGGGACATACCTAAAAACAAATAATTTAGAGACCCAGAGGTCAGGCCACTTAACTTCAGAGTTAGTTTCCTCATCTCCAAAATGGGTTTAATAACAGTACCTTTCGAGCATTTGATGGGAGATGATGAATGAAAATAGGGTGGTGGCAGTCATATGGGAGAAGTTCAGGGTTTGCTGATGATAATGCAAATGATGATTGGGTGTCTGTGATGGAGGAGATGGTGACAGTAACAGCCGTGACCCATAAACAGGTCACCAGGGGCCACGAGAGTGGCATGGGATGGTTGACCAGGATGCTAAGGGATGTGCATGTTCAGGGAAGTGACTAATTCTTTCCTGGGGGTAAATAAGGCACAGCTTCTTGGAGAAAGAAATATTGAAGCTAATTCCAGAGCACATCTCAGTTTCCCAGCAGGATGGGGGTTATTCAGTGACTGAGCCTTGGGGCTTTAACAAAGGGATGGCTCTTCACCTGGGACCACTTTGCCCCTTGGTCCCAGCAGACCTTGGGCAATCAAGTCTGGGGCCATTTTGGTTGGGGACCCCTTGGTATCCAGTTCAGTGAGGGCAGGAATGCCTCGCATGGGCCAGGCCCAGGTGACCTGCGACTGTCCTGCTGAAAACGTCTGGGGGCTGAGGTGGAGACACTGGGTTAGAAGGAATCACGAAGGTAGACCTAATCTTGAAACAGTACTTACTTAATGCAATCAAATAACCACTTCCAACTACAGGGGGAGAGGGCGAGGCTAACTCAGAGACATGACCCCCACTGGCCCTTCCCCGAACGCTGTGAGTATCTCTGGAGACACTGGTAACATGGAACCTTTGCCAGTCACAGAGTTAATTTCTCCCTAGAAATTCCTTTGGCTGGTATGAAGGTGGTGGTCTGTTTTGTGTAAAGTGAGATTGATGTTTAATGGCTGTAGCACTGTACGGAATGCATGAGGACATAAATAGCTTAATGTCTTATTTTACATCTCAGTATAAAGCCCAAGACTTTATAGACTGTCTTCTGACCTAAATAGTCTCTCCTAGAGCTATGCACAGTCACAGGCTGGAGTCTACTCGAAGCTTTTTTATTATTAGGATTTCTGTTGTAAAGTTTCAAAAACACCTGTAAGCCATTCATACCATATAAGTTATGGGTTGAAAATAGTGTTGCTAAATGTAGAATTATTATTATTATTATTCTTATTCTTGAGACAGGGTCTCGCTATGCGGTTCAGGCCGGCCTTGATCTCACTTTGTAGCCCAGACTGGTCTCAGGCTCACGGCAATCCTCCTGCTTCAGCCTCCTGAGTGTTGGGATTAAATGCGTGCACCACCACGCCCAGCTCAGAATGATCATTTAGTGTAACAGAACGTCCCCAACCATAGCACGGCTGCTTCTTTTATTTTTTACTAGTTTGGCCCATTCCTTCACTGGCTGTCTTGTTCCCTAAACTAGCCCTTATCTTACTGCTTTAATCGGTGACAGTTGTTAAGATGTAGAGGACCCAGACCCTAGAGGACTTTGTTTTCTAGCTGGGGGTCGAGATCAGTAAAGATAATGCGAGCTGGCTCTTACTGGTAGCCCCTGTGTCAGGTCCCCCTTGCAGTGCCTCACTCTAGCCTCTTAACACAACAACCCCACAAGGGGTCCCATTCTCAGCATCATTTTGGACCAGGAGTCAGAGACACAGAAAGAGTAAGCTCTCATGAAGACCACACAGCCTCAGAGGACAGCCCTGGAGCTTCTAACCCTGTATGATGTGCTGACCAAGGTTCCTGACCTGAACGTGAGGACTGGAGATCAGATAGGGGCTCTGGCGGGCAGGGGAGCGGGGCAGAGGCCTAGGGGAGGAAGCCTAGGGGAGGAGATGGGTCAAGGTGAGCGCTGCAGGACCAGCGTTGGCCGGACTCAGAGGAGGTGGGTGTGTGGGGAGAGGATGATAGCAGTAGAAGCAGGGGTAGGCAGGGGGCACTTGAAGAGCAGCACCACGGGCTCAGTACTTGCGCCCCCTTAAATTCACTTGTGGAAATTCAAAGCCTCAATGTGCTATCAGGCACTGGGAGGTGATTGGAACATGAAGGTGGGGCCCTTATACATGGAATTGGTGCCCTTCCAAGAGAGACTCCTCCAGCCCTCTCACCCCTGTGTGACAATATAATTGACAAGAAAGTGGCAGTTGACAGTCTGGAAGAGCCCTCGCCAGAAACTAGCCATGCTGATCCTGATCTCCGACTCTCAGGTGCCAGAGCTATACCAATCTTCCACAAGCACTGAGAAAAATCAATGTCACTAACCAAGTCCAAAAGTCAGGGTTGTTTACAGTACTTCAGTGCAGTTGGAATGTGAGCCTGCCTCGTCTGGCCTGTTTTCTTTTCAGCTTAATGGAATAGGAAAGTTGCTGTCTCCTCTGCTGTCCCTCCCTTCCTCTCTGCACGCAGAAGGAAAATAGTAAAGTGCAGTCACGCTGGGCAGGAACCTAGCTGAGCTTCTCAGGGACCAGCACAATGGAGTTCAGCATTCTAAGCAGCTTGTGTGCATGAATCAGCAAGCTCTGTCCAGGGAGCTACTGGTATTGGCAGTCTCCAATGAGCCAACTGGTCTACCAGAGGTTGGCCTTGCCCAAGCGCCCTCTGGTGGTCAGTGGTGGAGACCACCTTGACCCTGTTCTTTTGAACCGGTGGTGCCTGTGACCACCACAGGATGACTGTGAAGCTCTTGCATTAGCACTCACCATGCGGAAGATGAACAAGCGAAACAAATCTTTATCCTGGGCGAGTTCAATTACCTGAGGACCCGTGACTTTCCATTTTGCTAGTCTAACTTAACTAGACTGTTTACTGAGGCTTCTCCCCAGGTAAAGCGAGCCACTTTATTTACTTATTTTGGGGAGAAGTGGGAAGCACATGTACCCCTAAAACTCACTGCCAGCTCCACCGACTTCGGGTTTGCAAGAAGCGTATGCTCCTCTCACTGTCCAGGTTCATGTTTAGATTTTTGTCTTCTCCAGCACTAAGGAAAGAGTTGACTTAAGGTGGTCTGTGTAAAACTACTTGGAGGATGGTGAGACAATGCAGACCCCAGCTTAGTCTTCTGTGTCTCTAGAATGTGCGCTCGAGGAGCGGCCTTGTCCACACGCTCCCAGGCCTGTGTTGGGGCCCGTGTGCCCGCCTACGTGGCTGAGTGTGTCGGAGCATGCTCCTGGGTGAGCTGCTCTGTGTGTGCTCTGTTCTGCTGGGGCTGAAGCAGGACACCTCACTTAGCATTCATCACAGCCACAATAGAAGGGAGAATTCTTCCCCTTTTAGCTCCAGAAAAGCATCAGTCCTGAGGGGCTGCGTGGTGGGGCTGAGTGTTTGCCCAGGCACTCTGATTCCCAAGCTCTCTCCAATCCTCCCATGGCCAGGGTGGAGCTGCTCATGAGTTTGGAGAGAAAGGGACGACCAAAGGCCCTGGCTGGGCCAGTCTGCACACAGAAGACCTGATAACAAGGCAGGACGCTCTCGGCAGCTGGGGCAGGGCCCGGAAAGCACAGAGCAGTGTGTGACTGCAGGGCTCAGCGCTGTGCGATTCTGAGCTCACAGTGGTGCCGTGAGTCGCTCAACACCGGGATGGCAAGCTAGACCGAGAAGAGCCGGAGGCCATGTCCCCGCGCCCCAGCCTCCCCACTCAGCCTCTAGGCCCCGTGACTCCGCTGCCCCGCTCCTCCCACGCCAGCGTCTCTCCCGCAGTGCTCACTCAGCGCTGTGGAGCAGGTACCACTGCGCTCGCTCACACGTGGAGAACCTGAGGCCGGAGAGAGGGAGGCACCTAGGGGGAGCAGGCCAACACCCGCGCTTCCTCTTCAGATTCTGAATTCCACTCTCCCATCACATGAGCGCCTCCGCAGAAGCTTCTTACACAAATATTCTCCCTCACGGTGAGCCCCACTTCAGAAACCTGGCAACCCCCTGGGCACCTCCGCCGTCCCTGGCTTCCTTGAGTGCTGCTAGCAAGCAGTATCCCACGAGGAAGCAGGCATGGGCATCCGCGGCCGGGCTCCTGCACTCTCGGCAGCTCTGTGTTCGTGTTTTCCCAGGCACAGGGCTTTCCTTCTCTTCTACACACTCAAACCCACAATTAGGCAGGCTGCCAGGCAAGGTGGCACCCATGTGTAATGCCAGCACTCAGAAGGCTGAGGCAGGAGGGTTGCCACAAGTTCAGGCCAGCCGGGGCTACATAGTGAGTTCAAGGCCAGCCTGAAGTACAAAGCAAGAAAGACCTTGTCTCAAAACCAACCAACCAAGCATCAAGCCAGGTCAGGGGCTCAGAGGGTTCTGATGGCCTTTGCAGAGGAAGTAACTGCCCAGTGGTTCACTGGTTGAACAGAGAGCCCCCCAGGACCCAGAGCTCCTCACTCTCAGTAGGATGGCAGGGCGCACTGAAAGCTGGATGAGCCATGTTTCCTCCCCTTCCATGAGCTCGCAGCACCACCCTGCCAGCACCCTCGCCACTTGGGGGGTGGACCGAGGACAGAGGACACTTACTGCGTCTGGCCTGGTTCGGCCATGGTGCAGCTGGCCTTGCTGTGACACGGGTTCTTGGACTTGCAGAGGTCGGTCATGCTGCAGCCGACTCCAGGCACGAAGCCGTGGTAGTGCTCCTTACACTCGCAGTGGGACTGCGGAAGCAGGAGAGAAGCACAAACGGGGTCCCAGTGAGTCCCTGTGCTGGGCACGAACCCAGGGCGCCCTTCACGCCAGGCGGGCGCTCTCCCCCTGAGGCCTCAGCCATGTTAGAATTCTGTCATGAAAGCTGACTCCAAGGAGGTCTGAACGAGAGACGTTCACTAAAGTCTGGCCAAAACATTCAGAAATGGAAGTCATGACTGTGTATCTTACCTCGGGGAGTTTATAGCCTCATTTGTAAATCCAGCTTTCAGCTTTGTGGTTCCTAACCCCGGACCTCCCTGACTACCTGCTTCTGCTTTCCGACTATCTACAGGTGAGCAGAGACTGGTGTTGGGATGAGGGGTATTATTCTTATTCTTATTCTTATTCTTATTCTTATTCTTATTCTTATTCTTATTCTTATTCCTATTACTGGCAACAGAGATGGAACCTAGCGTCTTTGCACTGAGCTACATCCTCAGCTATTTCAAATTTTTTCTTATTTTGAAATATGATCTTGTTAAGTTATCCAACCTGGACTGAACTGTTTCTTAAATTTTTTGAGATAGGGCCTCACTAGGTAGTCCAGGATGGTCTTGAACTCACTGTGTAGGCTAGGCTGGCCTCAAATTTATGGCAATCCTCCTGCCTCAGCCTTCCAAGTGCTGGGATTACAGACATCTGCCACCACAGCATGCTCTGGCCTGAAGCTTTGACTCTCCTCATGTGGGAGGTACAGTTGCTCTAGATAATGGGTTTCGACTGAAGGGCTCAACCCAGGGGCACTGGAAGATGTCTGGGGACATTCTTGATTGTCACTAGGGAGGAGGACAGGGCTACTAAAGGCCAAGGATCCTGCTGCACACCCTGCAATGCACAGATAGTCTCCTCCCTGCCCACTCCAACAGAGAATGCTGCGGCTCAGAGCATCAGTGACTCTGAGGTGGAAAAGCCCCTTGCAGGGCCTGAAATGCCCAAGGCAATGAGTAAGAGAGGGGATTCTGCCCTTTGGAAATCTGCCTTTGGGCCCACTTTTTTTCTTTTCTTTTTCTTTCTTTCTTTTTCTTTTCTTTTCTTTCTTCCTTCTTTCTTTCTTTCTTTCTTTCTTTTCTTTTCTTTTTTCTTTTTTTTTTTTTTGTGAAACCAGGGATTGAACTCAGGCTCTTGTGGACCCGATTTCTAAGATACAAAGTGTTTAAAAAATAGGAATAAACAATTACATATTTTTACATAGAAATTTAGAAATCTAACCATATATATCATTGTAGCAGGACAGTTCTATGACTTTGTTTTCCTTGTTTCTTGTTTTCATTTTTAAATATTTTTTTATTTTTTTAAATTTCTTTTTCTTTTTTTTCTTCACATCCTGTAGGGATTTAAAGTTCAACATATCAATACTTGATGGAAAATACTTGTTTCATGTTATGTCTAAGATGTTTGATATTCAGACAGATAGGTTAAACTCAACTGCCTATGTTACAGGTAATAATATCATTAAGCTTCTTTTCTGGAGGGTTAACAACCTAAGTTTATGGACCAAAAATTAGAGAAAAAGAAGGGCCTCAAGGACAGTCAACATTTTGGCTCTAGCCTTTCAAGGTCAGTGAGGACTCAGGATATAAGAGAACCTGTACTGTAACATCTTGTAACTAACTTGTGTCCCAAATTTTCTGATCAAGGAGATTATGGGGCCAGAGAAGAAAGTAATCGATGATGTAGAGTGTGCCTAAGGAGAGTTACATGGAGAGAAAACATTCTCTCAGGCTTTCACAGAGAGCAAATGGTCAAGCAATGGCCGTGACTCATCCACATGGCTGATACTGACAAAGGATCTACAAACTGAGGTACAGGGTTTCAGGGTAAATCTTGAGGGGATTTGACTGACTTTGTCAGATACAAAAGTTACATTTCTTATTGTATAGGTCTTGCTTTTTCTTGGTCTTAACCGTCTAGCAGAAAAGTATAAAAACGAGGTATAAAAACTAAAGCCATATTAATATGCTGAGCTGTAAAATGCTCAAGTCAACAACTTCTGATGTTGCCAGTCCTATGGATATCCCACTACTATTATGGACTACTGGACCATATAGGATTATTTTGCTGAATTCATGTACCTACAATATTTAAATGGCAATAGAATACCCATTTCTGACAAAAGTAAACAATAAAAGGGGATACAAATGAAGGACCATTTTATATCTGTATATACAAAATAGGGTAGATATACAGCTACTTTCTCTTAATTCAATGAGAGGAAAGATTTGTACTAATAATGTTTGGACAGGATATCATGTATGCATCTTGCACTATGAATAACCACCACGAAGACAACAATGTACAATGTATTAATTATTGAAACTGTCCTACAAATTGATTTTGAAACTACCTCATTGCTATTTATTTCTCAATAAAATTAATAAAAAATAAGACACAAAGTGCTTATTTGATCTCACTCCCAAACTCCTGGCCCTCTGGCATGTGGTTTCCCTCAAAGTCCCTCATTTTGTGCTTGGGTGCTTATTTGCCCTTGGAGTCCTGCAACTCAGCCTCAGCATGGGTTGTGGAAATGTGTGATGTGCTCTTCTCCTTGGTGTGGAGGTAGGGCGGACTCTCTGCAGAATCTCAGGAACATCCCACTGGGAGGCCACGTAGAGTGCAGGGGACCCTTGGTGTGTCAGAGCTGCTCCCTGAGCCCGCCTGCTCCTGGTGCCCCGCTCACTGAGGCCTCCATTAGGTGCTTGCTGGGTAAGTGTGACATCAGGAACAGAGCTCTGCTAACTGGACTCCCTGGCAAAAGTCCCCTGTCCACACTGAGGTTCATCAGTCAAGGCCAGGTATGACACAGGGGTAGCAGCTCACCTAGAATGTTCTTCCTGTGCCCTGAAACTTCTTAGTGTTGCATGACATCTGAGGAATTTCATCTCTCTGGGACAGGGTGTTTTGGGCCATGAAGGGATTCCCTTCCTTTAACTTAGAAGATATCAGAGAGCTGGAGGGTCGAGGGTGAACTCTGATCACATTCACCCAAGGAAGGGCACAGTGGGCCAGCGAGACAAGAGGCGCCGGGGCATGAGTTCACGTTCTCTGGCTTCGTCCTGCTCTGGGACGCAAGCTTAGCTCACCTGTCCAGGCCCATCGTACTTGCACTGCGTGGTCCTGGGGTGGCAGTTCCCGAAGTTTGTCTGGCAGGGGTCCACTGGGATACACACGCGGCCGTCCCCCGTGTAGCCTTGTCCGCATGTGCAGCTGTGCCGGTTGGGTCCCAGGTATGTGCAGTGCGCGTGAGGGTTGCAGGGGTGCTCCAGGCATGGGTTGATGGCTTCAGGAGCAGCCACGTAAACGACAGGCAGTCAGCACATGCAGGGACAGAGGAGGAGGACAGCTTAGAGGGAGCCGCGGTCACAGCACAAAGCCGCACCACAGCTTGGAGAGAGAACGAAGCATTTCATTGAATCTCCCAGCCTGGCCCCCACAGCCCCATCAGACGGACATACGGCCACCACAAGTCACAGCTACCAGTATTCTGCTGTATATTATTACACCATACGATGGACGAAATAAATAAAGCAGCAGGAAAGAAAACTAAACTAATGCTCACAGAGTGTACAATATACGCAGACCCTGCTCTAAGTCTTTGCCACACTAACGAGCTCATGTGTTGCGTGGAGCCATGCTATGAGGCAAGGTCCTCTTATGATGCCCACTTGGTGGAGGGAACACTGAGATAAGGCAGAGCACAGGTCACGAGGTTAGTAAAAGACAGATCGAGGATTTGAATGCAGGCAGTCTGGCTTCAGATTTCATTTTAACAAACATACAGCATGGCTTCTCCTAAGGCGAATAAACAAGCAGAGAAAATGACCCGAAGGAGCGTCAGACTTTATGCTTATACTGATGAGGATGATGTAAAACGTGTGCAGGTTGCCATGTGTGCTTTGATCGTAGGACAGTCAGTCACACATTGAGGCTGGCTGTGGCACCATGTGGATTTGGCCTGGACTCGTGCATCTCGGTTAGTGACACAGAGACAAAGAGATGATGACTAGTAAGTGGCCGTGTGAGTGTGAGGCAGGCCGTGAATGGCTTTGTTGTTAAAAAACCTAAGCTGCTCCGCGGAGAACCTGGCGGGGTGGAAATTCCGCTCACGTTCACAGTGTTGGCCATTGCCTTTGTAGTTGGGGAGGCACCGGCACTCCAGCTTGGTTCGGTCTTCGCCCAGAGGTGCACATCTGGAATTTTCTGGGCAGAGCAGGGCTGCACATTCAGGAACAGCTGCATAGAAAGCGCATCGAGACACTTGCACTGGCTGAACAGCCAGTTCCAAAGCCCCCCAAATGACAGGATTTCCTTTTTTCAAAAAGCAACGCAGACTCGCTGCCACGATCTTAAAAATGCAGGCACATAAAGACTCAATATGTTTCAATTTTCACTCCTCAGTCCCCATGCCCAAAGAATCAATATAAAAATCTCCAACATAATATATTTGTCTATATACTTACTTATATGATTTTTTCACCAAAACCAAATCTTGTGAAAATACTTAGCAGTCTGATGTTTTAATTTGCCGACACATTAGGGAAGTCTTTAGGGATTTGCCACTTTAGTCTCTAAGGAGCTGCACAGTATTTCATAACGCTGGTGTGACTCATGGCTGCAAGGTACCACCAGAATCCGACTCATGAGGTGGGCTGCAACAGTGTCGTGCATGAAGGCGAACACTACGAGACTCGGGGGCAGAGGTGAAGGACAGTTTATTACTCCCAGGAAGAGCAGGACACGGAGTGTCAGGTTCTGGCCTTAGCTTCTCCAAGCCTCGTTTCCTCAAGGCCAGGCAAAGGGGGCCTGATTGGCCTCCGAACACGCAGTAGTTCTGTTGTATGAGGGGTTCTAATCGATTTGTTTTTACTTTCCAATGGATAATGTACCCCTGAGGGGTTAGCGACATACTCATTTGAGTAGGTAACATTTTAATATAAAGCATTATGGAAAATTAGCTAGTGATCATCGAAAAAGAATTCTAAAGAATAAAGAATGGCAGACATATAAAGGGAAATCGCCCCCCTCGGGCTGAGATAGGTACCCAAGGGGAACCTGCCTCTCTGAGACTGAGGGGTAGATGGCAGCGGGACCCGAATCCTTTGGTCGCTTTGTGTGGGGAGGGAAGTCCCTCAAGTTCGTTACTTGGGAGAGTTATTGGAGATCTGCACTGTTGGGCACCAAGAGGGTTGGCCACCTGCAGGAGCCGAGCCTCTGGGCTCACTATGTACCCGGAGCTGCCGGTCCTCGTGTGTTCATGGGAGTGGGAGCTAGGAAGCCCCTCCGAAGTGTTTGGAACATTCCCACAGGACCTGGGCACCTCTGGACTGCTGGGATGGGGCAAAGGCGAGGTGGTCAGTTCTCCAGATGTGTGTGGGACTGAGGAGACAGCAGATCCCTGGGTTGGGGCACAGGCCTGTCCCGTCTGGGGCTCCTGGCTATCCACCACAGCCCGGATCAAGCACCGGGCAGTGTTTGGTGGCCAGAGGCTGAAGGAAGCTGAGCTCCGCAGGAACCCAGCTCTGGGAAAACAGAGTGGGGCTGGGAAAATGGAGAAATGGAGACCCTGGTGCATGGGCCAGACCAGAACTAAGAAGAAAGTCCCTGTCCAGCAGCTCCCCCTGCAGACAGGGTTCTGCATCCTTCTGGCTGGCAGGGGGGAAATCTATGTAAAACCTGCCTCTACTGTCACAGAGCAGGGGCACAGGGTGGCTGTGCAGCCGAGAGGCCACAAATTCATAACTGGCAGTAGGAGTCAGCGGGCCCCGCCTCTGCTCCCGAGGGAGACACCCTATCTTCCAGGGCTGTGCCATCCACACACGTTCCTGAACAGTCAGGAAATGGATAACCAGCAGCAAGATGTGCACAGAGGTGAGACCCGCGGAGCACTGTCTCCCAGGAGTGGCCAGCTGAATCACCAACTGAGAGAGCACTGCCTCCTGCCCGGCCACCAGCTTCCTTGTCCATTGTCCTTTGGAGGACAATGGCAGGCAGGGTCGTGGACAGTTCCGCGATGGTGTAGTGAGCAGGGCTGTAATGAGCATGCGCTTCTCTGCCCTCCCATTTCCCGCCCATGGCTGGAGGCCGAGTACCCTGCGGGCCTGCAGAGTGGCAGCGTCATAGTCAGAAAGATCTGAATCTGGGCAACCAGCCAGGAGCGCACACGTGGATGGTGCAGGCGTGAGGATGCCACCTCGGTTTAACCCAGAGATCTCCGGCTGTCTCAGGCCACACCTCCTTTGGATTTTGTGGTCCCCTGTCCCCATATACCTAGTGGGCCCATTTACAAAATTTATAAACCAAAGAACTGAGTAACTACTTATACCACGAGAACATAGTAGCCATTTGCAAAAGTAACATGCTCAGTAGAAAGAAAAGAAGTTTAATTACATTCTTAAATTACCACCTTTACTTAGAAATGAGCCCCAGGAGTCCACTGGACCGACTACTCAAGTTGCCTATGGCTGGAATCACATTATACTGAAGCCCTCATCTGGCCTCATTGAGTTTTACATCACTGCTTGCTTTTTGTCGTAACAATCACTGGAAGCACAGCGAGGCAAAGATAGGCCATCACGGGACAGAGCTGAAATTCACAGCCTCTAGTTAATGAACTTCATTGCTCTGCACTGACTCAGGCTAGCAATTCGGGGCCATCAGCACGCAGCACTGTGTGTCCCTCAACAATCTGGCGTGTCCAGTGGCACCCAGGGGTGCCTTGGGGAGCGGTTCTAGAACCACAGTGTCAAGCCCCTGAGTCCCCGTGTTTATTTCTTACAGCAGCCAGCGCTGTCCTACCCAGTGCAGCCTGCCCTAACTTTCACGTGTTCCTTCAGCTGGTTTGATCCTCACAGGCAACGTGCCTGCCGTGAACTCCTGTGCACACACTCTTACGGCTGCTTAGTCCTTTCTTCCTCTGGGGTGGATCCCTACAAGGGCCACGGCAGCTCCTCCGTGTCCCATAGCCTCAGCAGGTGACTCCCACATCCTAGGCTGTGAGGTCTACCTCTCCCCTGGTTTCTTTTCAGCTCTGTAGATTCCAGCTACCTTTTCAATGGAGGTAATATGCTGGGCAAAACAATAAGGGAAACCAAAGCAGAACAGAACCCCCAGAGTTCTTATCCTACCTCAGTATGGCTTGAATTTGTATTCCTGAGGTCACTTGTGGGTTTCTAAGCCTTTTGTATTTATTTCTGGCTTCCATTTCTTACTCTGAGTCTTGGCTTCTCCTAGGTCTATGTTTACAATTGGATCATGTGCTTTATATTAATATAAAATGTATCTGCCACATGAATTGCAAATATTTCTTTTCCCTTGACTCTTGTTTATCTTCCGGCAGGACAGAAATATTTGTACACTTGGAAGCAAGTTTGAGCATGTTCTTTGGTAGTCTGGCTCCTTGGCAAGAAGGCCTCACTCTTGAGCTGCTGAGCAGATAGGAGAGGGTGCGGGAGGCAGTGGCTGGAGGCGCAGAGGGGACAGCTTCTCAGCTCAACTGGATTGGAGTGGGTTGTTCCCATGACGGCGTCCCCTGGGCCAGGTGCAGGTCCTCCTGCAGCTGTACTCTCTGTTTAGGATCCTCTGCCCCAGCTGTGCGCCCAGGTGCACCGTCCCTGGGGAGCCTCGCATGCTGGCCTGGGCCCTGTGCCCACCTTGTCACAGCTGTCCCCACACAGACTCTGTCCTCCAGCCTGCATCCCCCCGCACCTGTACCCACCAGTCTCGGCTCACCAGGGCCCTGGAGTGCTGACCCTGCCTGCCGGCACCATGGCCCAATGTCGGCCTGGGCAGAACAACCAGCGCGTCAGCCACCTGGTGGGCTGCAGCCATGAGCTGTCGGCCACGGCTTGCACCCAGCCTCCTGACACCGCTGAGGAGGCCAAGGACTTACGCGTGTCACAGGTGGGGCCAGTGTAGGCAGAGTAGCAGTTGCAGGTCCCGTCGCCTTGGGGGCCATTCTTGCACACGCCGTGCACACACGTACACACTGCAGGGAGAAAAGGGGGCCATTGTCACCTGACAGAGATCACTTCCAAAGGTTCTGAGAGCAAACACTTCTGCCTGAGCATCTGCAGGAGGGCGTGGGGACAAGGGGCTTTGAAGTCCTTGAGACCCGAGGTTGAATCCTGGCTTCAGGTACTTTTAACTGCCATTTGTCCACATGTGGTCTCATGTCTGAAGCAAACCCATCCTCTCAGGGGCATTGGAAATCTTCTCCATACTTTTTTTTTAAATTCTAGGGACGGGCCTACAGGGTGCTCAGGGCCTCACTACTAGATCGGACTCATAGTGATCCACCTGCTTACAGCCTCCCAAGAGCTAGGATTACAGATGTGCGCCACCACGCTCAATCTCAATTGCCATTTCAGCACCCCTGGGGGCAGGGCTGGCACAGCAGGCCCAGGGATTAAACCCCCAGCCCCTGAGCCTGTTTGCAGGTACTTTAATCCTCTGAGCTATTTGGCCGGCCCTCTTTTGTGTACTTTCAAAGGCTTTACTTCACCTTTGAATCCTTTGACGTGAGGATTAACTTTCTGTCTTAGTGTACACATCTGTTGGACTTCAAAGAAAAAGCTGCCATGGCCCAACCATTGTTGGACGCTGAGATCTACACAGATCAATCCAACTTCTGGAATGAATGGGACAATCAAGGATGAAAACAGAGTGCAGGGCTGGGGGTGCCTGTAATCTCAGCGCTCACGTTTGAACCTAGGTTCAGAGCCAGAAACTTGGGGAGAATTTGTCTTTGCAAAAACAAGAACAGCAACAACAACAACAGCAACACAAAAAGGGCTCAGATGAAGCTCAATGTGACACCCCTGTGTTCAATCCCCAGCAACACACACACACACACACACACACACACACACACACACACTTAATAGGACCTACAATAACAATGTCACAATTTCTCCTTGCTATAGAGGAACTTTTCAGCCAAGGACGGATCAGTTTGGGATGACCACGAAGCCACTGTGATGTGAACAGCCAGCCACGCAGCTTGTGGCACATTTGTGGCCTGGTTCATCATGCGAAGGGGCCAGCAGCGGTGAGTTCAAGGCGTGAAGCATTCAGTCCCCATTTGCTGTTGCAATTTTTTTTTTTTTCATTTACGTATTTGGTACAGGGTCTCACTACACAGCTCAGTCTCAGAGTGATCCTCCTGTTTTCAGCCTCCCCGGCTCAGGGATTACAGGCATGCGCCACCATGCCCAGACATGGTCACTGGCTCAGTGTACCCCAGGGGCAGAGCTGGTGTGGTAGGCGGGACCGGAGCTCAAGCCCTCGTCCCTGCACTCGCCAAAGAAGGTGCTCAGACCGCTGAGCTATCTCGCCAACACTTCGCCATTGCAATTGTACCACACTGTCCCCTCGCCACACACACACACACACACACACGACACATTAGCTCAGTGTCCAGGGTACAGAAAGGGTCTCACTGGACTAAAATTGAGGCTCTGGTGAGGCTGGCTTTGCTCTGTGGATTCCAGGGAGACTTTTCCTTGGCCATTTCTGGCTTCTACTGGGACCCTTCGAAGCTAGCATGTCCAGGCCAAGTCCCTGGCCCCTTTTCTCCTCACCTCTGTCTTCCTCTGCCACAAATAACCCTGGGGATGGCACAGAGCCCACCTGGATAGCCCAGGACACTTTCCCTGCCTTATGTCAATTGGTTAGCAATACCAATTTGTCGGCAACCTAAGTCCCCCTTTGCCACATCACTCAGCACAGTCACAGGGTCAGGGACAGGAAATAGGCTTCTTTAGGGGAGTCTGTTCTGCCCACCACAGGTAAGTTCAGTACACATAGTCCACTGTGACATATGCTCTAATGAGATACCATTCAGAGATAGACTTACCTAAAAATCTACTAAAAAATACCAGAAAAGCAAGGACTACTGAAGTTGGAAGCATTCCGACATCTCGGAGTCCCCCAAGTCCTTCGTGCTGCATGCCCCTCAGCTCTTTGTCTCTGGAGGTTCAATCCTTGCTGGGCTCTTGTCACGTCCTGTCCTGACTCCTGCAGTAGCACATTCCAACCGACCTCGCTGCCTCTAGTTTCTTGCCTTCCCATCCCACACATTTTATTTGTTTAGCAGGAACATCAGGAAATTTCCTAAAAATACCCCAGTGACTTTCAAATGCAACCAAATGAAATTTAAAATTTTCTCTCTGGCAAAAAAAGAGCCCTCCAGTCTGACTCCCACCCACTTTGGTAATTTTTCATTTTCAGCCCCTGCCACTGTATTTTATGCACCTTGAATTCTGGACACATGGACCACACCAGGTCACAGTTCACCTCCCTTCCTTCTTTAAGCTGGCTCATAACCTACTACTGTAGGGCACTGTGTTGAGATTGGTGGTCCCCGGGACAAACAGGACCAAACCTTACCCTTGGAGCACATGGTACAGCAAACAGCCAATGACAAGCAGCTGTGTGAAGATGCCACTGTGCGATGAGCCAATGGGATTTGGCCAGGAATAATGTGTGCAGGGCTCATCAGTCAGGGAATTTGAAGCCTGGCCTTTGCGTAAGGGACACTTGGGTCCCTCGAGTGCAGGTCCAAGTGCTCCCCCTCTGCTTCCCTCCCCTCCCCCTCCTCTCTCAGCCCGAGCCCCTGCTTCTGTGGTGTCCTCAGAGGCTCACAGCAATGTCTGTGTTCCCCAGCGTGTCCCGTCCCTCTCTTCTTCTCCTTTCTAGTCTGTTCCCGTACTTCCTTTCATCAAGCACTTCCTTTCAATCAGTCACTTTACCGTGCCAATTACTTAGAACCTTGTTCTCAACACTTTGTTGTTGTTATCACCCTTGTCTTACAAATTAAAAAAAGAGGACATGGCCAGCATCAGAGCTTACTGCAAGAATGGGAGAATTAAATTGGCTCTGCAATTGTCAGCCTCTTCCAAACCCAGTGGCCCTCGTACCTACTAGCAAGGACTCAATATCCTAGCGGATAGAGTTGCCTGGATCAGAGAGTGCCCTGGGGGAAGTCACCTTGGCTATGGGGCTCACTGGCGGGAGGAGAGCAGTGCGCTGCGTGGGACTCATAGAAGCCAGTCCCAGTACCTCAGTGATAGGCATCCAGCTCCTGCGGAATGCCGGGCGCTGCACTCAGCGCCGTCTCCAGGGCAGCCTCTGCCGTGGGTGAGCGGACACTGCACTGCAGGGCTGCCAGCCCGGTGAGTGGCGGAGGGATTCCCAGGTGTCCCCAAAAGCCCCTGGTACTTCATACACCACCTTGGCAGTTCTCAGGAGACACTCAAAAATGGAGAATTAAATCTAGTGATGTGGCTTTAAAGCGGCTAAAGCCACGGCCGTCCCGTCAGAGGGACCCCCAGCTCCCACCGCCCCGGGCACAGCCAGCAGCACCCTCTCCCAGGTCAGCACCCTGCAGGCTGTGCATGCTGCACCTCGGTCACTGCTCACATTTCTAGCTCTCAGGACCTAGCCGTATCCCTGGTAGGGCCCTCGCTGCCTCTGTGGTGTTAATGTGCGGTGGGTGCTCACCAGGGACAGGATGGTGTGGGCTTGGGACTCAGCTCTGGAGTTAGATACCTGGGACTGCGTCCTGCCTCTGTCCCATTGTGGCTGCAAGGACGCCAGAGAGTTCCTTGCTTCTTCACCCACTGAGTGAGGACACTCGCTTAATTAAAGAGGAGCATGGAGGCCTTGAGAGATTATTCTGAGAAGCCTCTTGCTCACTGCCCGGCACTGAGCAGGCGCTTGGTGAAGGCAGGCTGCTCTGTCCTCACGGCTGTGGGTTGACTTGGAGTCCTGCCGGGGAAGGTGGCTTTGCGTTCCACAGCTGGGAGCGAGGCACCTGCTGGGGAGCTGAAGGCTGTAGGCGAGTGCAGCTCTGAATCTTTCCGAACCCCACAGGAGGGCACTCTGGTAGCAGAGGTAAAGCCAGCATTGAAAAGGACCACCCTGGGGCCAGGGATACAGCTCCGTGGCATAAGCGCCTGTCTGGCAAGCACAAGGTTCTGAGTTTGATCCCTGGTACCGCAAAAAAAAAAAAAAAAAAAAAAAGGATGACACAACACTGGCACCCAGTGGACACCTGGCTAAAAGGGCTCCTGAGCTTCCCTGGCTCTTGTCATTCATTCATTCATTCATTCATTCATTCATTCATTCATTCATTTGTATAGTTATCCATGTATTAATTCAGCCAACCAATGCAGCGCATCCGTGCAGGCAGCCCCACTGTAGAAGGCCCTGGAGATGCAGGTAGGATGGTGCTCTGCCTTGGTGGACCCAGTGGCATCCCAGCCTCCGAAGTCCTGCAGAGTGTGTGAACTCTGGGGTGGGGTGTAGTGTGTGTGTAGGCTTTCCTGAAAAAATATCTGAATCAGAGCAGTCTACCCAATTCCATGTTTTCTATGGAAGCCGGAACTAAAGTGTAGTGGTGAAGTACTGCCCACCAGACTCCTTTGGAGGGACGTGGACCGGCAGACAGCGTCTCCACCACACCTGTGCTCCTGAGCCTTGGCGACCCAGCCAGCTCCCTGCATCCACAGTGCTTCGCCTGGGGCTTTTGTGTGACCCATGGGACGGCCACCCACACTGAGCCCTGTGATTCTAGAAGTGCTGCCCCGTCAGCTGCCCCCTGATGGCTGTGTGTATTCGTGTCCTCTGGCTGCTGTGAAAGCACCACAGATTTAGCACTGTGGCCCGGATGTGGTTTGGGTTTGTCACTTGGGGTCTGAGTGGTGGAGGGTTGGTCCTCAGTAAGAGGTGGAGCCTGATGGGAGGTCATAGGTCATAGGGTGTGGCCTTGGAAGGGTAGTTTTCCTGGGACCCCAGTTAGTGACTGAGAGACGGATTATTATAAAAGAACAAGAGGGCCCCTGTCTCCCTGGCTGCCTGTTGCTGGGGGATCCCTCTGGGAGAAAGTGCCGTGCTCCGTGAGGGGTTCTGTCAGGGTCAGGGGTCTTCTCCAGAGCCACCGTTATTCTGTGAGCAACACTAATGCCTTCAGAAATTGTTCAGCCTCAGGTATTTTCTTATAGCAATGAAAAACAGACTAAGATACCTAGTGTCTTAAAACAGCACAAATTCATTATCTTCCGGTTTTGGAAGTTAGAGATCCCTAACACTGTGCTGAAATCAGGGCGTCAGTAAGATTGGTAAGGTTGCCTTCTCAGAGGCTCGAGGAAGAAAGCTTCCTTTGGCAGCTCTGTAAGGTGCCAGCGTTCCTCGGCGATGGGCCTCTTCCACGGCTGGCGGAGTCTTGCTTACACCCTGTCACTGGCAGCCAGTTCTTTGCCTCTCTCCACATCCGGGCTCCCTTGTGATGACACTGAGCTCACCCAAATCATCCAAGCGAAGCTATTATGTTCAGGTCAGCTGAAGAGCCAACTATCTGCTACCTTACTACTCCTCTGCCCCACAGAGTAACTTGTGGGTCTCAGAGATTAGGATGTGGGCATCTTTGGCTGGATTTTTCGGCTGCCCTTTGGGTTTCCCCTTTCCCCTGGATTGGTGGGCCCTTTATTTGCCCCATCGCACATCCCAGTGGTTCCTGGGATCGCCTCTGAAGTAAACGCCTGCACTAAAGCCCTTGTCTGTAGGTCCACTTCTGAGGGCAACGGAATATGAGAAAGTGGATCAGCAAGGCGCGGGCATTCGCTGTGTGCAGCCAGCAACCTCTGACCGCTAAGGCATCAGTCTGTGAGCTCCCTGGAGTAAGGGGAATGTTAGAATACGGAGGACCCCTGATGGAATTAGAGACCCCTAGGTCTACACTGAAATCAGGGGCTGGAAAGACTTCATGGAAGGATGGTGGAGGGGGAGAGGCAGGGTGGACCTTGGGACCTGCAGGAGGAGAGGAGGTCCTGTGCCTCCCAAGGGCCCCAGTGGGCTTTCCTGCCCTCTGTGAGTGCCGAGGACCTCACGGTCACCATTTCTATCTCAGTTGCTGCCGTCTGTTACTCCACCCACAACCAGAAGCATGCAAGTGTTCGGTGGATTCTCTCAAGGGCTTCCCAGCAGACACTGCACCCTCCCCAGCGTACTGGTGACGCAGGAGACAGACATACCTGAGGAGCAGCTGGGTCCAAACAAGTTGTCCTGGGCGCAGACTTCACAGGCTGTACCACCAAAGCCCTCCTGCAAAGCACCGCGGGGGGCTGCCATTAGGCTGAGGGCGACCTGTGTCCCCATGAGATCCTGCTTGTCCCCTTGGTGGGTTTGATTAGCACCCCCCAAGTTATATCTTCCCCCAAGGTCCTTTCTGGTCCCCTCTTTCCCCCTGTATTTTAGGGAAGGGTCTACAGGGTATACAGGGTCTCACTACTAGATCGGACTTATAGTGATTCTCCTGTTTACAGCCTCCCAAGTGCTGGCATTACGTGTGCACATCACCACACCCAGTCTCAATTGCTGTCTCATGTGCCCTGGGGGCTGGGCTGGCAGGGCAGGCCCAGGGATTGAATCCCCGGCTCTTGCACCTGCTTGCAGGTGCTTTAATCTACTGAGCTAGTAGTGAGACCCTGAACACCCTGTAGACCCTTCCCTAAAATACAAAAGAAGAAGAAGGAGAAGAAGAAGAAGAAGAAGAAGAAGAAGAAGAAGAAGAAGAAGAAGAAGAAGAAGAAGAAGAAGAAGAAGAAAAAGAAAAA